ATTTAGACTTACACAACCTCGATTAATCGCCGTGATGAATTCAAATTCGATGACGAGGAACCCACTTTGAGACTAATAATGGCTGGAGATGGCTTGAATGGGTAATGATGATGACAAAACCTTGTCGAAATGTTGTACATTTGCTGTTATGTTAAACTTATATTAAAGTTTTTCTTCATTACCCATTCAAGCCGTCTCCAGCCATTATTAGTAGAGAAGTTTGATAAGGTGATGCATATAATGCATTGCATTGAGGTCTTCCAGCAAGATAACAGTAAGTCTATGAACTTACCACACTAAAATCTGGGGTTCAGTTCCTCGTGGTGGATATAGCAAATAGCTCAAAGTGGCTTTGCTCTAAAACAAACATTGTGTCAAGACATTCAGAACCAAAAGTCATATGGTTATTGATAACAAAAACTACTATGACAGAAAAGGTTCATACTATTTCAGATGTAAATACTTGTTTGAAATGCTATTCTAATCACAAAAATGTAAGGTAGTAAAATATTAAATGTGCTGAAGTTTTACTTTTAAAAATCTTTTCATGTTTTTGTAATTACTAGTAATATGATCAGAATACAGAAAAATTAGTAGTTTAAGGTTATATCTTATGTTAGAGAATAGACTATTTTTCTTAAAACTGGATTTCTAAATCTCAGATTAAAGTAAAAAATAAAAGTTGATATTTCATGTGCACTGTCATTATTGCCAATATGCCAAGTATGATTTTGTTTATATTGTACTGTTATTTTTATTGAAAAAGCTAAATTATATTTCATTTAAGTGTGACTGTTCTAATGTAGATACTCTGTTTCAAACTTTTTAAGTACATTATTCACGTTAAGACTACCATATATAATTTACCTCAGAAAATGTGTTTGAATTAACTTTAAACAGATAATATTTTTGTCTTAAAGAAAATTATTATTTATTACTAAAAAGAATTACAATTAACTGATCGCTGTTGTATCAGCAAGTATTTTATAAATACAATTTTTAAACTCACTTTTTATTATTTCAGAATACTTACCATGACACTGTTATAATACGAATGATGTTTTTTTTCTTTGTTTTTTCAGAGGCCCTAACTTGTAATATAACTGATGCTGTTGAAAAAATTATTTCTGCATTCAAAACCCATAAAGCCTCATTTCATCTGAGTCAGTCCCTTTACTTAATGGAAGAATTGGCTGCTATGGATAAAAGAACACTTAGTAGTATTAGCCAAATGGTTGACAAAGAATATGAAATTGTTAATGGTCAAGATAAAAAGAAAAAACATTCATTAATAGAAAAGGTATGTTTCACTGCATAATAATGTGTTTTTATACTTTTATAGTAGTTAGAATAACCCTCAAGCATGCAGGTTTATTAGTTCAAATAGTCTAATGCTGGGTTCATCTATTCAATTTTTAAATGGAAAAGTATTCAATATTCCCATGAAATATGAGATGTGTTATAGCTGGGAATAATTTATCTGTATGTGCGCATGCCATGACCTTTATGGAGTGCCTTTCAACATTGTATATGTATTTGATGTCAGAGTTACCAACTATTTATTTTGCTCTACATTGCTGATTTAACAACAGTGTCATACTAGAAGAGAATAAACTGACATTGACAGTTCACAAACGTATCTTGAGTACGAATACATTTGTAACATATCTTATTTCTTGTGTACAAGAGATTTGTACATTTGTCCAAAAGCTTGCCATGTTTTGTACAGTAAATACAGAATTAGTCAACATTTGATTGAGGAAAGAGTAAACGTGGGTCGCAATATTGTTCAACTTCTGAAAATGTTTGGTTTGGTAAGAAGGTTCTTATTTTGTGCATGAAGTTAAAGGTTTTTGCTTTAGAATAATACATATACAATAGCATATGTAATAACATTTTATTATATTGTGCCACAGTACAGTAATTCTTAAGTTATATTTACAGTAAAGGCACTGAAATTGGAATGTGGGTTTAATTAACATGTTTTGATTTATTTTACATCACTGTATAATGTTAGAAATGGTGAAATACCTGGAAGTTATGCATGATATTCTGTTAAATGTGCCAAAAATCAGAAAGCTTGTTATAACAGGCTTTTACGTGAAACTTTTGGTTCAGTGTGTTTTTGTAGTAAGCATTTCTTATGCTTTTCGTTATATGCTTTTGTGATGTATTTTATGATTGATTTGATTTTGAAGAATGACCATGCACATCAGTATGCTTTGTAAGTAGTATACTGGACTGTCAAGTCTGCATATACAGAGTTCTACTTTCTGATTTTGAAAGAAGTTTAATCACATTTAATTTAAAGAAGAATGTTAGCCCTTGTTTTTTATATTGCTCTCTAACTATGTTAACTTATAAGTTATTAACCCTTTAATGGCTATTTTGAATCACACCTTGACTCACAATTATTCATTTTGTGAACTATTGAATGACCGTTTTTCGGTGTTTTTCTTGTATTCTTTGTGTCATGCTCAGACATTATCTTTTGAATTACAAACTTGTTTCTTTATTCTTCTCATACTTTCAAACTTTATTTGATACCACTATTAAGTATGTGAAATATGTTGTAATATGTATTTCTTTTTTGATAAGTTATCTTTACACACATTGAAAGTTGAAGCACAATTTTCATCTCAGTAATTTTGATGATTTTCTTTTATTTTCTTTCATTTATGGAAAGATTGAAAGCTCTAAGTATTGTAACAAGCCATGAAGATAAAATTTAATAAATGCATTTCATGTTTATCCACTGAGTCTTTATGGTTTGCTGCTATTTCCAGTCATGGAATTTTTTGTAGCTGAACTTATTTAATCTATTATTTGCCTATCTTTGACTTTAGAACCAATTATATAGTCCTCTTCTATTTCATTTATGATTAATTATAGTGTATTTATTCATTTCTAAGTTTTTCACTTACATTAGAGTTAGCTGATTCTTTTCAGAAAACAATTACTACAAGGTGATGTATATTGTCACCTCATCATTTTACTCAGTGTTGAGAATGTGACTGTTAGATTATCTTAGAAGAAATTTTTTGCTCCTTAGCATTCAGGTTATTTGTCTAGTAGTGGATAACATCTACTATTTGAAATTTATTATTGCCTAACACAGTATTTGACATCAACAGATTTATATATTGGTGTTGACACTTTTTAGGCCACTTAGTTACTTCCTGAAGTATTTTTGACATACAGATACTTTTGAAAGATTGGACTTCTTACTTTTATCTTGGGAAGTAAATTAGCATGTCTAGTGTTTTTTACTGACTGTACTTGTATGTTACTGGGACCTTTTCAACCCTTTCACAATGGGCTCGGTATAAAATACAGGAGTTCATATACACATTTGTACATGTTAAGTATTTACACTATAACTTTTAATGTAGTATGTGTATCTTCACAAAATCTGGTGGACTTTTAGTAAACATTACAAGTCTTTTGTACACAAAAAAATCAGATTTTTTAATGAAGTATTTTTACCAAAGATTTGTTTGTGAATATATCAAGTCTGTTTCATTACTAGTTCGAGTGCAAATGATTTTCATGTTATGATTAAAAAACTATTCTTCTTCCCAAAAATCTCCAATATCATTTGTGTTTAATATCTAAAAACCTCCTAAATACATTTCAAACATTTGTTTTCAGTAAAATTTTATATTTTTATTTGTTATTTTCTCTACTCTAACTCTATACGGGGTCGGTCAATTTGACTGACCTGTAACCACCATACAAAATTAGGAAATAAATATAAGTTATGCTTTTTTCATTCTAGAATGACTATAAATTATAACACAAATTTTTAGTCTAAATAGCTTAAATATCATAACATTATACATTTATTTATTATTTTTATTATAATGACCTTACAGCTCTACTTGCTAACATTACAGAAGTTGCAATGATGCTGTGCATGTGCACTCATGTTAATGTATCCAGGAATATAAAACTAGCCTTTACAAAGTGACATGTCGTGGCTGTGTTTTAGTGGACTAGTATTTTGTAAAATACAGTCACGTTTCAGTTGTAATATATTATATATATGTGTATACATTATTATTCTTTTCAAATAAGTTCTTAAACTTGTTTTTCTTGAAACAGAGAACAGTAAGTAAAGAAGTATAGCAAACAATTATCTCTTTTAGTTACGACCCTTGTTATCATTCCAAAAGATACTTACCTCCCCTGACACTATAGCCATTTCTCTATGTCCACGGTTTCCACTCTTTGCCCATTTTAGCATTGAAAACGTTTGCTCCAGTCTTTTATACCCCACTCAAATGCCTTTGGCAAATTCTGATTTTCAAATTTCTCCACCAACTTCAGTGTGCCCTCTTTCTAGGTACTGTATATAAGAGCCTCATTCAGATAATGTAATAACTTTTTCTTGACAAAGCATTCGGGCATGGGTTTCTATAAAGAGGAGGGTTGAGATTATTCACAATTTCTGTTGTGACTTTGGACATAGTTGGCTTTAATATGGTTATATCTTTGCTTATATTTATGGATTAATTTTTTAAAAAACCAAAAAAAACCTACCGACAGGTATGAATTTCCGAGTTAATGTTTCTACTATGGAGGCCAACCAGACCTTTTCCACCTCTGCTATCTGGGGTTTGTCAATGGCCAGGGGAGGGTTCACTCTCAGTTGAGTCTGTCTGTGATATGATCTGTTGCGAGATGAAGACGTGGACAGAAGGTGTCTTTCCATGGGGTGTCTGATTTACCTTTTGCAAATGACCTGGGATCAGCTGGGGAGAATTTAGACTCACTTTTTCCAGCTCCTTCTTTTACTAGGTGGGCTTCAACAGAGGGTCCTCTTGATCAGCCATCTACATCTCCCTTTTTTCAGTTGATTCCTCAGGTTTGTGAGTTTTGGGGGTCTCTCCTATTGCCTTTGATTACTCCTTCCTTGTTGATTACTTGGTTTTCCTCCTTCTCTTGGTATTACTGCTCATACTGAGAGATTCGCAGCTCAGTTACACAATAGGATAGCTATGCCTTGTCTCCCATGTTTATCGAAACAGCATGTTTTGGCTTATCACCACCAGGAGGAGGTATAATTAGATTCTCAATGAATGGACCCCCCTTTTGGATCTGTGGGGTTTTAGATTGGAAACTGTGATCACTTTAAACAGATCATAGTTTTTTCAGATTCTTCTTACTCTCACGACTGTCCTGAGGAATTTTATTTTTGATCCAACTTTTGTCTGAAGCCTATCAACGTTCCCCTCAGCAATTTGAGGATGAGTTGGAGACTTTGCTGATATAAGTCAGATTGTCTTCTTTAGTTCATTCTATGGTTTCTTGGCTGGTTTGTTGTTGGGATTTATTGGGTAGAGATATCTTGTTAGAAAATGTTCTTTTACAGTCTTCTGCCTTCAGGGAGTTATGGGAAGCTTCTTTTCTCCCTCCCATGTAGTTTGTCAGAGTTCCAGAGATGTTAGAATCATGAATTGATTCAACTTCTTTAACATAGTTAGCTTCTCGCCTTTCTGGCACTAATTTGGGAATGTCAACTCCTTGCATTTCCCAACCTCATCCATCAGTTTCCAGGTCTATTGGTTCCCACAATGGAGTCCTTCCATATTCTTGAGGATCTTCTGCTCAGATGGATCATCAACAACAGCATCGATGACTATCCCGTGGGCGGGGGAGCAGTGGGAGTATGATTACATCACTTACTGGACATCTGGAGTTCTTTCACCAGGGATCAATGGCTGCTTCATGTTCTGGCTTCAGGGTTGGTCATTCAATTTACATCACCTCCACCATTATCTGCACAACATGTTACCTTTTCTCTTCCAAAAGATCCACAGTGAGTGGAGCTTCATTCTCAGGCCATAAGAGAGTTATTAGTAAAAAGGGCAGTAGAGAGGGTTGTTCCTATTCTTCCAGGATTTTATTCCCATTTATATGTTGTACCCAATAAGACAGGAGATTGGCATCCAATCGTCAATCTGTCTCTACTCAACCAATTTTTAGATCCTCCTCGCTTTACTATGGAATCTTTTCACAACCTACGATGGTACTTTGCGCCAGAGCTCTGGATGACCAAGTTCGATGTTACCGATGCTTATCTCCATATTCCCATAGCAGAATCTTCCTGGAGGTTTCTAAGATTTGTGCACAAGGATCAGGTACTGCAATTCAGGGCTCTTCCTTTGGGTCTTGCATCAGCACCTTATGCCTTCTGTAGAGTTGTTCAAGCTTTTTATTGTCATCTGTATTCCTTGGGCCTGTGCACACATCATTATATGGATGACTAGCTCCTTCTGGCATCATCCCATGAATTAA